CCCCAAAACCCCAAAACCCCAAAACCCCTTTTTCTGATATCATATTGAATTTTTAGGTATATTAGTGTTTAAATTTAGTTTGTAGCATTTTTTATTTAATTTTGCAGTTATAGTTCTGTCTGTTTTAACTAATTCATTCAATTTGATCATTGAGGTAAAGCAAAATTTAGAATGCCACCCAGAATGAAGATTTAAAGATCTTAAATAAAGCCCAGGCTAAGATATGCTGGAGACTAAGAAAGAGCATTGAGAGGTAAAAAATAGTAGGGAAAGTATAACAGAGAGTCAGGATGAAATTTTGATGAAAACTAAGGCCATTTCGGCGGAAATTCAGGCTGTTGCTTGTGTTCTTCCATCGATTTATCCTTCAAGCTTGCTATTTCCTTATCAACAATGTTGTATATCGAGTGCACTGCCATTTGTTCAACTTCTCTTTGGTTTGATTGTTTGGATTCATTTAGTTTTCTATCTTTCTCTGGGTACTATAACATTTCCATTAGAACTATTCATATTCTTTCTTACCCTGCTTCACTCTAAACTTCCTGAAAGGTCTTCCAACCCCTGTTTCTTGGCTTCTGAATTCAGCTTGACAACTTTAGCCTTAGTCTTACTTCCTTCGTGGCTGGAAGGAATAGCCTCCTTCACTCTTGAAGAAGAGAATGGGGCGATTGGGGTCTTAGCCAAGTGGGCTTCAAGCTTGGAGTCTTCTAACAGGCCTTGGTTGGCTGGAGGGGAGAGGAAAGTTTTGATTATCTTCTCATTCATCTCTCTGAGCTCTTTGATCTCATTCAAAATTCTGACTATATCCATTTCTTTGTACAGTAGTTTCTCAGCCACGCTTAGATGCTGAAGCTCAGTAGGTTTTTTCTTTCTTTTACAGCAGAAACAGCAAATTGACTTGGATACAACATCCGTGAAACTGTATTTTGCTATATTCTTGACTTTGGAGAGTCTCGATCTTTGGATTTGGTTGTTCTGGCTCTTCATATGGTTCAAGTCAGCAGCTTTCTCAGGTTGAGCAATGATATGATCTCTTGATTCATTCATTTTGTCTTCAATTTCTGCCTTCATCTGCTGGTAACTCGTGTTATTTTGTGGGTTGTTCTTAGCATCTTTATTTTTTTGGTTGAATGGCATGCTTTCTGGTCCAATGTTATTGAACTCTATGTCTGGTTGCTGATTTTTAGTCTGCCTGATCTCCTTGATCACATTAATAAGGTATGCAGACTTGACATTTTCAATGAACATACTAGCTAGTGTTCCGAAGACTAGTTTCACTAGGTAGCAAAAGCCTCCAACTTGAGACAACAGAGTGAGTATGTAGTAGTACTTATCCTTGTTGAGTTCTTCTTCAGAGCTCTTATTTTGGTTGGTCACTACCTGCTCATTGGTTGTGTTCGTAGTTGTAGTTGTGTTCAGGTTCCTGGCTGAGGACAGATCTGGCGTGATTCTTTCGACTTGGGTGAAGGTACGCTTTTCAGGGTGCATAAAAAGGGATACTTTGGCAAGCACCACTGGAAGATCAGGAGCGTCAGTAGATATAGAATCATAGACATTTTCAATATCGTAGAAGCTTGTACGGGTTCCATTGAGGAAAACCACTTCATTATGTCTTACTCTAATGTTTTTGGTATGATATGTACTTCCATCAATTGCAAGCGAGTCGACAACTTCGATATATTCTTTGATAGGATTACTAGTATCTGATTCATCAAAGTATCCTTGGTTCACATGAATGTATAAGAAAGTGTTTTTGTGATAATCAATGATCTCTTGATTTGTTGCACATGTGCCTGATAATCACTTGACATACACAAATTCTGGAATAATGTATTCATTAGATTTGTAGTCTCCTTGAATGATGAGTGGGTTTCTATTAAAACAGCGACTTCCAGGAATACTGAAATGAAAAGCTCTGGCTCCAACCTGAACTGGGAATGTTGCTGGAGAGCAATTTGTTGTGCCAATACCACCCCCTGTACCTGCTTCGCCATCTACCTTTGTCAGAAGAGTCCCACCTGTGAATCCATATTGATCTTGAATATTAAAGCTTGGATAGAATGCAATCCCAAAACCAGCTTCAGTCAAGTTGTGCTTCGTAGGATATTGGACATTAACAAGATCGTCATATGAAGAGGTCATCACTGTCTCAGTCGTTGTAATCCACTCTATAGTTTCAGCAGGAGGAGTGGTTCCTCCATCATTATCTGTGTTGTTTGCAACCACGACAGTCTGAGTTGTCGTATTAGTAGTATCAGTCGTCACTACATTAGTGTCAGTGATCTTTTTCAGCTTCATTGGATCGTCAATCATTACATAAATGAAGCCTGCAACGCATAAGACTGAGAGTATAGTAAGCAGTCCTCCACAGGCAGTCTTAAACTTAGACTTCCCATTATGCGTGAATGCAATGGGAGTTCCATATGCATCCACAGCTTCTAGCATTCTTAACCTTCTCGGCATATTTCCTCTATACTTAAATATATAAACCCACTTTCTATATTCCTAGAACCCCAGGGGTTTTGGGGTTTTGGGGTTTTGGGGTTTTGGGGTTTTGGGGTTTTGGGG